AAAAAAAAAAAAAAAAACCAGTTTACTTCTTTGTGATTCTCTTCATCTTATGCTATAATTATCTAAAATATTATTAAGCACCAAGCTTTCCGAGGCCATTGGGGCCAACATCAAGATATAAAAATACAGAATAAAATCATTCAGACATTCATTTATTTATTTATTTTATTTGTTTGATACTCGATATTTTGTTACTGACTCGTTCTCTCTCTTTCTCAGTCCCTCAGCCATTTTATTATTTTTATCGGCTATGTGTGTCGTTGAAGCAACCATTGACGTTAAAGATGATTGTCTTAACGTTGTTTTACAATTGTTATGATTAGAGCCCCCGCTAGGCGGATAATTTAGCGTAGCAGGTTGACTTCACTCGGACTATAAACAACAAAGACGGCTTTTAGTTTGCCTTTAACTGACGTTTTTGCCACAGTGTGTGATTCTATATGCACTTAACTGGGTTCCCAATGGAATGAGGAGATCATCTTTCAAAAAATAATGATTTCTTAAACTAAATTTAAAAAAAAAAGAAGAAGAGAATTGGAAAGAATGGACAGCGCTAATTCACAAAAATTATAATACATAAAGCCAAACACAGTCAATCAAATTAAGTAATTATTTTTGAACTGACTTTGGTATAGCATAAAGTTTCTAACACTCAAATGGATTCCTAATGGAATGTCAGTGAGCTCTCGAGTAAAATTCCACGAGTATTTTTATAGTATTTTAAAAATAAGAAAATACCGTATATCATAAAGATATATGAAGAATCTAATATTTGTAATCAAGGCTAATTAGTTTTTTGGTTGAAGTTTTCCAACAGCACTTAACTGGATTCCTGATGGTATGTGAACATAAATTTAATTCCAAAGATATTTTAATCAATTTTAGTTAGATGAGAATAAAAAATATATAATATAGGAAATAACCAATTTGCGATCGTATACCACTTGTCCGCATAACATGACATGCTATGTCATTGCAACACAACGTTTTAACCTAAATTCATTTTGGCGTTAAACTGGATCATGAATTCAATTATGCTAATTATAGTAATCCCATCTATAAATTTTCCCTGTTTGTGTCTTTTTGAATTACGCTTATTTTATCAGATCAAAAAAGAGTGAGTTTTGAACCGCTACTTTTTATCAGTTGTAGTCTTAATTGATTTTGGCGCTAATATGAATATGAGTTCAATTATAAGAATTATTACTCGAAATGCTTAGAAACGGCAATAAAAATCATAGGCAAGTTTCCTTTTCATGTTACGGCTATTAAAGCAATCTGCTTGATCCAGCTAAGTTAGTGTATGGCAGCTTTATCTATCTCGTTCGTACGTCCGTGCCTTGAAATGCCGGCTTTGGAGACTGACTTCTCCGAGTTTCAGTGTGTGTGTGTGTGTGTGTGTGTGTGTGTGTGTGTGTGTGTGTGTGTGTGTGTTTTTTTTTCATTTTTTACCACCTTCATTTTCTATTAACTTAAATAACTTAAATAAAATAAATCTAATATTACCTTGAAAGTGCGGCTGTGAACAAAGTTACCAGCAGAACTGCTCCGAACATCGTAGCCATGCACGTAGTCCACACAGAACAATGTTAAAGATGCTATTGGGTCCTGATATATAACCATCCACGTACCTTATTTACATTACGGGATTTCTCACCTTGCAACCACAAATTATCTGCAATGGATTCTGGCACTTAAGGTAGGCTCATGAGTTTAGAGCAGTAATAATCTAAGTCCTATGACTATGTATTCATTGAACTCAGGTGGAAGGGCCTATGCTGAAAACTTCTAATGCATCAACGTCTCTAAGACAAGTTGAGATCCTGATTACAATGCTTAGCAGACTTAGCATCTCTGTATATATAACCTCTGTATCCCAGGCCGCACGTTCTTTAGGATTCCTTGTTTTTGCATTTAAGGGTTATATCCATTTTAATTTGACTATACAAAAGGCGGAGTCCTCAAAACACACAGAAATTACAAACAATTTCGTGTGTGTGTAAACTCGTAACCAACCCGGCGGTAAGCCCAAAGAAGAGTGGAATTGAAATTTCCATCATTAAACAGGGCTTCCAACCACAAGCTTACAAGAAGTTATTCATTATTGATGAAGAGTAGATGTATTGGATTTGAAAGCATAACCAAATAAACCACTTGAACTTTATCGTTCGCTTAAAGCTTTAATTAAGTCAACGACCAACCGCTAAAATTAAAGACTTTTAAAAACTTTTACAAAAGGCCTAGAGTTAAAAGACAATGCACTTTATTACGCAAGAAATCTGTATTTTATTTTCAAACTAGTAAATATTGCTAAATAAAAATAACTTTTAGTTAGTTTATAATTTTGATTTCCTCGGCCATTCCCCATCTATTTTTCTTTCTTTTTAACGACATCATAGTTAGAACTAAAAATACTATCTTACGGACTATAATCATAGTTGTTTAAGCTAAAACATACTGATAAAATAACCTTAACTGAATTCAACAACTTCCAACAATTTGATCTTGTTTCTTCACCAGCATAAATTTTATTCATATAAGAAAGGTACTGACTCGCTTTCTAGTAACTCAATTCCTCTTTCGAATTACTCTCTAACTGAGCTATACTAAAATTAAAGTTATTTTGGTTGCTAAGCGACTGTCGTCATGAGATACCAACACCGCAGAATTATTAAGTGGAATGGAAGGAAAGATGGTTGGGTGGAAGAAAAATATTATAGAAATAAAAGGAAGAATGAAAATAGAATGGAAGGAGAAAAGAAAGAAGGATGGTATCTGGGTGATAATTAAGGCAAGTGTGACTTTACATCGTAATCATAAAAAAAAACATTTATTTACTCTTCATAACTCATACTCTTCAAAAATAAACAAACATAAATATAAATATAAATAATTCATAAATAAATATTAAACAAGCTTTTTTGATTTCCAATAGATTTCCAACAGTAAGGTTACACGCATTTGCTCTATCGTTTCACACTCATATGAAAACGAAAACCGCTTATTTCATATGTGTTTACACCGACGTAACATAAACTTGTCTTTATAGCTCAGCACGTGTTTGAGAACATTGTTCTTGATATTTCGAAAGAGACAATTTAATTTCCTCATCGTCAACAAAATCCAATGCCCTCTCTCCATCGCTATTCACTGAGAACAAATTCCCGCCATTAAGAATCAAATAGCGCGCGATGTCCAAATACCCACGAGCCAAAGCATAATGAAGAGCGGTCCAGCCATCAGCATCTTTTTTGGTCACCTCAGCACCGAGATGAACCAGAATTTGACAGCATTTTAAGCTGCCAACGAAAGCAGAAGTCCCTAACGCCGTGTGACCATAATCATTGTAATAGTTTACGTCGAATTTAATCTTTGAGTGGAGAATATCTTCAAGCTCTTGCGAAGTATCCTGTCCTGGAACAGTCTCTCGGACGATGAGATCTTCAGGGAAGCGATATAAAAGTGGTTGTTCTATGGCGCTTTTTTTTCGTCGTCTTGTCTGCTCGTCCATTTTTCACTAGCAAGACAGAATATTTTCCACCAAGTTATGAACCAAGGTAAAATTTGCTCTGAAAATAAACACCTTTTGAGTGAAATATCTTCTAAAGGATTTGAAAGAGTATACGAGAAGTATTCCTTCCGCTGTCAGCTTGAAAAAGCTGAGTCATCGATTGAATTATCTAGAGTTTCTTTCTCGTGTAGCGTCGAGCGGTTCAGTTTCTTGGCAAATACAAATCTCTCACCTTGGCGGTTTCTTTTTGATGCTTCAATAAAGCATAAAGAAGACATTCTTCGCTACCTGCGCTTGTGAAAGATATTCACTCGTTTGCCATCCCTGTGAACACTCATTGTCCATTATCACTCTGCAACTCACGTAGTATTCGTTGTTTGCTCGACCTTTTGTTCTCGGGACTTAGAACATCAATAACGTTAGCGTTAATTAGCAATTACGACCAAAACAAAACAAAAGCCCTTGAATTCTTAAATACATTCAAAATCAATCAACAAACTCAAAAAAAATTTGAATTTATTCTCATTATTCCTAATAGTTAGTAATTCTGAAGAGCACTGTGAAGAGAGGCAGTTTTGATTTCAATTGTCGTTTGATTTAAAAGCTTCACAAACTTTCAAATTCCCTTATTTGTTTGTTCGTGATTTTTATTACATTTTTATGAGCGTCTGATACCATGGCGACAGGACTGGAACACTTGGTTATGACGTCATGTATGCCCATTCCTTTACGTTGGCATTACCAAGCTCTGACACGGGTAGCCCATGATCAGATTTTGCAATCTATAAACATTGGTCGATAGGTTACCATAGACTGTTTGAGTTCCAAATTACCGCTATGTTCCTTGATTACAAACTCGTTTATACAGGGTAAACCTAATTTCAGTGCCCAACTATTCACAAATTTTCACAGCCAACAAAAAAATTCGACATTAGTCTGGCTTTTTTTATATCATTCAACATGGCCACCTTGTCTTTTCTTTTGTCATTTCATTCTCTTGGGAATGATTTGGAAACCAGCAATACGAACGGTAAAGTAAAAAATGCGCAACTTCACAATACAAACGCTTTGAAATTCCACGGACCAGCTTCACTGAAACGCATAATAAAATATTCTGCTCAAAATCGAGATTTACCCGGAGCAACAAAAAGAACTCGAAACTACATCCTCCCTTACCTTATTTATTAAGCCTCAAAAGAATGAGGAAAAAAAACATAGAAAATTAATGGTCTCTTGACAGAGCTCAAGGGGGAGGGAGGGCGGTATTGCAATCGCCTCTCGCTACTCGCCTCTCACGTTCGATTCGTCGGTCTTTAATACATGTGAGTAGAGTTTGTATAAAGCCTCTCAGTTGATCCAAGGGTTATTCTAGATCTCCAGTTTTCCTCCGCTCTGCAAAACTCAAGTATCTGCTAGTTTTCAATTTTAGATCAGCCCAATGGTTTATAATTCTATGTTAAATAACAAATAAATATTGATGAACTGGCTCAACTTAACTTCTGTAACTAAAGCAGATGATAATCGTACCGCAAAAGACGAAGATCTGACGAATCTAGAAAATGCTATTGTTTGTGTCCCAGAGAGGCAAACCCCTGCTGATAACGGTACGCAACGGGAGAGCCTTGAGCTCGCTACATGTCTCTGAAATCCTCATCTCGTTGCCTGGTGAACTTACGTGGAAAGTTGCTATTTATCTCCCGCTCTTCGTCATTCGCATGAGGAAAAGACAAACAAAAGCAACGGAAATTGTACTAGGTTTTTCGCTATGAAATTCAACAAGAGAAAAATACCAGAGAAAAGCCACTAAGGTGTACAAAGCACTTGACAGTCAAATAGTTTTTTATATATTCATTTCCTTTAATATATTTTACAAATTACTAGTATTTGTTTTAGTGAAAGTTCCAGTGCAAGGACTAGATGTAGAGGGAAAGTTTTAGCAAGCAAGTCTGGTTTTGATTCTTGGGTGATGGCTGTTGAATTTAATTTACAATTTCAGAAACAAATTCTTCATTGACAAAGGAAAAGCTTTAAGGTCTTATTAATCGGCCCACAAAGAATCTGTAGAACTTTGGAGGCAAAGTCTAAATAAGTCGCGCGATGCATTATGGGTCAAACTTAAAATTCCCACGTCACTTGAATTCTCTTAAACGAAAGTATCCAAAAACTAATGAAATGAGAAAAGTATTACTAAGACAATTTAATTTAGGGATAAGTTTTAAGATGAAACTCTTTTGGATAAGTTATATTTTCATATTTTTGAGCAAAAGTCGTATTTTCGTAGACGGCTGAAGGAATTGAACTAAAAAATGCTAGCGTCGTAACTAAAATAAGCCTTCCTCAGATTGGCTAATTTCTCCAGGACTGAGACAAACGAAGTCCCTTGGTAGAACATGGAATGAAAATATCGAACAAAAGGGCGCACGAAATATCGTAAACTTTCATTTTCTATTTAAATTAGTAGTTCAGCTAGTTTTGTTTAGGTGCTCCTCATCTTAATCATTTTTGAAAAACAATTTATTTTTACTTTATTCTGTTTCGCATTGTTACAATGTAAAAAATAAGCTCTTCTGCTGGCAAACTCTAGAGAAAAACATGTTTGTAAACCGCAAAATTGTTCTATTCTATTCAGTCAATTAGTTTGCTATCCGATATAAAGTTAAATGATATTTTATCTTCTTCGAAAATGAGAAAGAATTTAGTTAATATCAAAACTTCTGCCATACGAAATGTTGAATATTCCACATAAATTTTCTTACAAATATTTTTTTAAATATCAAAGGCTTCGACAAGAGTAGTATCAAAGAGAAAAAATAAAATAAAGTTTTCTAAGTAAAATAAAAACTCTTCAAGTTCCAACAACACAAAATGTTAGATATTCTAATATAATTTTCTGAAAGATATTAAAGGTTTTTTAACGAAGTTGTCGTCGATATTAGTTTTCAAGTTGGTAATATAAGTTGGTATTTTTCTAGTAGCTTCATCAGAAATTTTTAAATATAGACATGTAGTTATAATTTATACAGAAACTATGACATCAAAAATCGTTCCTACTGAGATAATAATTTTGAAGGAAGCCGTGCTCTAATTATGAATTTTTATTCAATAATCGATTTATTTTAAATTACCGCTGGTTGGCCGGGATATGTGGCTTGATTGCAGGACATAACAAATCCGTCCTGAACACTCCCGGTGACACTCCTTTTCGAACCTCATCGTATAAGTAGGTCGTCAAACTCAACCAACTAGATGTCAATAACTTCAAGATCAAAGATGAACACCTTTTACACTACAATAGCTCTCCTCGTCGTCTTTTTGGCCATTTTTATCAAACATACGAGGTAAACTTCATTAATTATTTTTTGGGGTAAAACTAATTTCTAATTTCATTTTACTTCAGCGCTTTTCGTTCTTATGATAGATGGATTTTTTGTGATAAATGCAATTATAGGAATTAAATCTTGAACTATGATAGTGAACTACTGGTAAATACAAAACCCTTTTAAGTGAAAAATAAGAAGTTCGTATAGCCAAACGCGAAAAAGTAATTTTCAACAAAGTATCTTTTCAAACGAAAGAAGCTAGTGAGAAAATAGTTTGAGCTACGTGGATTTGTTCAGTGGTATTTTGGACGTTAGAAATTTAGAAAAAACGTTAGCAGTGTTTCAGTCTGGCTGCATTGAGTAGTGACTAGTGAGTAGATGGACCAGTATTCATGAATTTAATATCGTGAAAGAGCGTGAAAGAAAGTTGAAGAACACTGATTTTTGTATCGAGTGTAAGTGACATAATGATGGTTCAAAATCTTTCTACAAAAAAATCGTTTTTAGCATCTTATTGAACAGAATCTTTTTAGAGAAAGTAAAGGAAAAGAAGTGGGTTACTAGTTTTTTTTCATGATTTCTAGGTGCCATACATGCAAGGGTTTAAAATCCTTCTTTTCTTCTTTCTTCCTTCCTTCTTTCTCTCTTTCTTTCTTTCTTTCCTTCCTTCCTTCCCTCCTTC